ATTAACACGTAGAAATTAAAACTGTCGGTTCTTAAAAGTTAAAAATTAAATTATCACAATCAAAGATGAAGTTGGACGAACATCTTGATGATTGTAACACAAGATTAAATATAATTCGATCTTAATTATGAGAATGATAAAATTTCAACTTCTTGCATTAGTACATTCCATGTGTACTGAACGGACCAATTAGAGATGTTCGCTTATGTTCTGAATATTTATAAACAACTTCTCTAGTCCATTACGTGTACTTATAATACTCTTAATCTTGATATAATTATTATGATCTATGTAGTTTGACTTATTATTTTAATCTATTAAAAGATACTCTATTATAAGTCAATATATTCCTAATAGATTGGGTAATGACTAATCACATTAGTGAAATAATAATTAATTGATAGAACCATATCTCGAACTTGAGATAGAAGACACCCCTTTATGGTTACTTATAAGTTTTCATGTGAAAACCATGTAGGTGGATTTTCTATCTTTCATGTGAAATAATTTAAGTATAATAATAAATGATTAAATTCGTCAATGAATTAAATTTTAAGAAAAAATGATTTAATTGATTGGTGTCAGCAATTCTAATATGGGGAATTAAATAAGATGCAATGGTAGATTTTGAATTTAAATCGAGGAGTGTAATTACAGTTTTTTATTGAAATAATTTATAATTTAAAATTTATTGTAATATGATAATTCATTCATTTGTAAATTAATATCATAATTGAAAGCCTCGGTTAATAAGTTTGCGGTCCCTATTGCGCCTGATTAATTAATCGATTTTGAAAAAGAGAATGAGTGTTCTGGAAGAAGTAATATTATTAGTCTTTTGTGATCATGTATTATGCTTCCGCTGCATATATAAATTGCATACTCTAACAACTTATGTGGTGCAACTCCAACATACCACAAGGCTACAGTAGTTTGGCTCCACAGCCTTGGAGATAATAGCTCAAGGTAAGTTTATTCCTACTTTCTTTTACTTCTCGTGCTATGCTAAGGCAATGTTCTGCTTTACCCCTCGATATGGTAAATCAACAACTAGCTCATTACAAGCCCTTTTCTTGTCTTTTATTTTGGGAGGGTGGGGTGAAAGCTAGAAATTTTATGTGGCTATCAATGGAAAACTTGTGACTTGTGATGACAATTTGTGGTAGTAAGTTTGAAGAATTTTATTTGATTGATTAAAAACTTGGAAAAGACTGGGATGATAATGTCGAAGTTATTTAACATGGATCATTCACTTCATATTGTGGTGGCAATCAAACACATCACCACTACCGCTACAAATTCATCTGGATCAGTCAAATTTTTGTGGGGTGACCTTGGAGACATGAGAAGAACAAACATAAATCGTGCGCTTTTTTTTATTCTTCTTATTCATGCTTTAAGTGATACTACTTTTTCTTCTGTCTTTCTTTATAGTCTGGATTCTTATTCTCTATTCGAAAAGGTAGAGACTACTACAATATATTATATTTGATCGTTAAGAACATTACACTACGATTCGATTAGTTAAGTTAGTTACACTAGGAATTGATATGTTAATACACTAGGAACTGATCCGTTTAGCTAGTTACATTAAACACTAATCTATTAAGCTCTGGGGCAGACCCACATATAACATTTTGGGTGCTCGAGCACCCATTAACCCCGACATAAATTTATATATTTATATAGAAACTTTTTGTAAGATAGATATATTAATAAATCAGCACCCACTGATCAAGAAGCTTGATGGGTGTGTTGGTTTAGCAACCAACTTAAAGTCATCACTTTTAAGAATGGTGAGGGTTCGAAACCCAATTCCTCCAAATATTTTTATTACTCAAGTTATGTATATTTTTCTACTTTATAGTTAAATATTTCCTTCTTTTTCTCCCATACAATTCTTAGACTTTATTTATGACTTTTCCTTTTAATTTTGTTTCAACTTCCTTCTCCTCCATTTATACTTTATTTAATTTACCTTTAGTTTCAAATTTTCTCTTATATTTTATGTAGTTTCTTATGATTTAATTATTTTTGATTAAAAATCAGTTTTCTTGAAAAATATTGGGTGGTTAAAAATCCATCAAGGTATTTTAGTTTTTCTAAGAAATGAAGAATTTTTAACTATAACGGTTAAATAGTTGTACACTTATATAATTATACTATGTGATTTATAGTAACTTTATAATAATAGAAGTGAGCACCCATGAGCCTAAGATCCTGGATCCGCCACTGATTAAGCTAGTTACATTATTCATCTTAACTTAGAGGAACTAGACATCTTTATAATAGAGGGACATGTAACATTTTAAATATATATACATGGAAAACTCGAGGGCTTATAAGATCGTATCAAGTGATATGAAAGCTCGAATTTAAGAGAGGAAAACATGTTAAAATGAAGCTTGTAGAATGTAAGGACTCTTTTCATGTGTAGTCTAAAGTCCTTTTGACTCATTAAGAGAAACATATGTCGACATGGAAGTTGCGGCTTAGCTGCGAAAGTGGTTTTAACTTTACATACCTCAATTCTTAATTTTGTGTACTTATAAAGAATCAATCGATCCTTTCTTTGGGAAGATAATTTCAATGTCAAGTGCATAATGAAGCTAATATTAGCAGCTAATCGACAAGTGTGGTCCAACAAATAGTACGCCAAACAAACTATAGTTATTTAAAATTTATTAAATATAAATTTATAAAATGATTCGGGTTATATTAAATTCATGAATATATTAGTCCAAATAAATATTATGGATTAATATAATTGAGTTAATTATTTAAATATAATAAATATGGATTTAATTAAACCCGCTCCATAAAGCCCATATGGTCTGTCACTTAAATCTGATTGACCAAAGGGAATCCTAGTCCAATCACAACTCCTCTATTTTAAAACTATAAATAGGGGTCCTCATAATTCAAAAAAGGAACCAAGAATTCTAACAAAAGCTAGAGAAAGCTCGTGGATCAAAAGCCACAAATTGCTCTACAAGTTCAAGAATTCTAACAAGAAGCTCGAGAAAGCTCGTGGATTAAAAGCCGCAGATTTCTCTCCAAGTTCAAGAATTCTAACAAGAAGCTAGAGAAAGCTCGTGGATTAAAAGCCACAGATTTCTCTACAAGTTCAAGAATTCTAACAAGAATCTAGAGAAAGCTCGTGGATTAAGAGCCACAGATTTCTCTACAAATTCAAGAATTCTAATGAAAAGCTAGAGAAAGCTCGTGGATCAAAAGCCGCAAATTTCTCTACAAGCTACAAGTTCAAGAATTCAAGAATTTAAGTGTTCAAGTTTCAAGAATGATCAAGATCAAGAACGAGCAATTCAAGAATGATCAAGATCAAGACCACCGAATTCAAGATCAAGCTCAAAGCCCTTGAATTCCACTAGAAGTCAAGATCAAGATAAAGTTCAAGTTCAAGTTCAAGATCGAGATAAAGTTCAAGTTCAAGTTCAAGTTTAAGATAAACTCAAGATCAAGCTCAAGAGCCCGTGAATTATATCCGAAAAGGCGAATTCAGAGGAATCATAGAGATTGTAACACACGCACTTTAAATCAATAAAACGATTGTTGCGATAATTTTCCGTTCTTGATTATTGTTTTTCTCGACGCAAAATTTTAGTTTACAAATTATGGCACGCCCAATAGGACAATCTCTACCTCTCATCTCAACTTTTCAAGCATCAAAGAATATCGAGATGACTTCCATGAAGATTAACTCTAAATTAACTGCCTCTAAGGCCACTAGCTCCAAGTTCTCTACTGAAGTTGAAGGAATTCTTCGTCTTACCTTTGGAAGTTTCGGAGCTGTTACGAGGAGCAAGGCTGCTATGCTAGGACAACAAACACTTCAAGTGTCGTCCACATCAACTCCAGTATTTGGGTCTTCGACTCCAAAAAGATCAAGTTCCTCCACAAATGCTTTAGAAGGAGGAATCAGTGTTGCTGAAAAGATCAAGAAGACAATGGCTCTACTTGAACAATCTGGTTCCAAGAACTCTACCACAAGGGAGAACTATGATTCAACCAATGAATCATCTCCACGAGCATCGCATAACGTGAGTCCACTAAAGATCAACTTACGCAACAATCCATGCTACTCTTCTACATCTCCAATGATCATGCAAACAATGGCGACTGTTGCTTCTTCCCTTGAGAAATAACTCTCAAATCTGACGAAGTTGGTTGAAGGATTGACAAAGCATGTACAACACTAAGAGTCTAGAATCGATAAGTTGATGGATCGAATGGAAGGAATTTTAGATGGAGAAGTGAGTCATCCTCTTGGAAAGGGTGTTGAAGTTCAAGAGATCGGAGATCTTGTGAAGAAAACACCACTTGTTAATGAGATGCCAGTTTCTTCTAAAGGAATTATCCCACTCGATTGCTTGAAGGAGTTCATTGAAGGCACAATCAAAGACAAATATTAAGTCTCCACCAAGTCCTCTCATATGTATGCCAAGCCATACATGACAAGAATTGATAACTTCAAAATACCTGCAGGTTATCAACCTCCCAAATTTCAACAATTTAAGGGAAAATGAAATCTGAAGCAACATGTTGCACACTTTGTGGAAACATGTAATAATGCTGGAACCTAGGGAGACCATCTTGTCAAGCAGTTTGTCCGCTCTCTAAAGGGAAATGCCTTTGATTGGTACACAGATCTCGAGCCCAATTGTATCGATAGTGGGAACAACTAGAGCACGAGTTTCTCAATTGCTTCTATCGCACGAGGCGTACGATTAACATGGTAGAACTCACGAATACTCACCAAAGGAAGGATGAACCAGTCATAGACTTCATAAATCGATGGAGGAACGCGAGCTTGAATTGCAAGAATAGGCTTAGTGACACTTCTGCGATAGAAATGTGTATCCAAGGGATGCACTGGGAGCTTCTTTACATCTTACAAGGAATGAAACCAAAATACTTCAAAGATCTAGCTACTCGCGCTCATGATATGGAGTTGAGCATGTCCTCTGCTGGAAAAAGATATGACGATTGTCCATGACCCTCGCAAAGAAAAAGACAAACAGGAACCCAAGAGATGGAGCAAATTTGTGCCCAAGAATGACAACAAAGAGTCAATGAATGTTAATGTGTCGCCTGTAAAGTTCACTCCAAAGGAGCGTAAGAAGCAAAGTGTGAGAACGAATTTCTAAGCACATTCGAGCCAAAAGTCGATCCTAAGAGAAATGCAAGAAAAGGAATACCCCTTCTTGGATTCTGACGTTTATGATATGTTTGACGAGTTTCTTGAGTTAAAGCTCATTGATTTACCAGAGATGAAGTGACCTGATGAAGCTGGAAAAGTTGATGACCAAAATTATTGCAAGTATCATAGACTTGTGAGTCACCCTCTTGAAAAATGTTTTATCTTCAAGGATAGAGTGATGCGATTGGTTAGAGAAAAGAAGATTGTCCTTGATGGTGAGAAAGCTAGTCTAACCAAATCTCCATCACATTTGGCTCACTTGATCCGGTTCAAATATGTATCTCTGAAAAGTATGAAAAAGAGTCATTAGAGCAAGAAAATTCTCAAGTTGATATAGATCATGATGAATGTTGGATTCTTGTGACTAAGCGAAGATGCAACAAGTCAAGCTTACAAAAAAAATAATTTGAGCAACCAATTAGAAGGAAGATGGTGAAGAAATTGGTGAAGCAGGAATCAATCAAGCACCCAAAGAGGGCAAAGGTAGAAGTACATCACTACCAGAAACTCTGACGTCCTATGACTCTAGAGGATTTCTTACCAAGTTATTTCTGCACAAAACCTACTCAAGACAATGGTGAGACACAATGTTTCAATGCTGATAAATAAAAAACAATGAAGGTGTCTCCTACTGACAATGATGCAAGTGAATCCTTACTAAAAGTGTCTCCTAACGGCGAAGAAAAAGCAACAAGGAAATTCTTGTCAATGATGTCTCCTTCATCTTCTGAAAAGCCTATTGAACCTTCTTCCCAAGAAGCACATACATGTGATACAAAAATCACATTTACAGATAATGATCTTCTATTTGGTGAAACACTACACAATCGTCTTTTATATATGTGGGTCACGTGCTAGAGAAGAATATAAATAGAATCTTAATAGATGAAGGATCTAGAGTCAACATTCTACCTATCCACACATTGAAGGAACTCGACATCACGATTGAAGAACTTAGTGCAGGTCATTTTTTGATACAAGGATTCAATCAAGGGGGACAGAGGTCCATGGGATCTATTAAATTAGAAATCCACATGAAAGATTTGCGATCAAGTGCATGGATACATGTAATCGATGTAATGACTTCAACTTGGGACAAATTTATTGCATCAATTCGTCTGATAGGAGGATTTAGTCCTCTTAATGCATCTTTTTGAAGGTTAGATGATTTGACTTCTTCTTTCTTTACTTTTGGAACATAGCAAAGTTCAGAAGTCAGCTTCTTATTTGAAGACATAATCTTCCCTTCATTAAGGTTGGGACAAAGATCTTTAGTGTCAACTTTTGCCTTTCCAACAACCGCATCGATTCTTTTGCTTGTGATTTTATAGACTTGGTTGATTTGACATCGTTAGATTTCTCCTCTTTAACAACATAACCCTTCAAATAGAATTTTGCATCATCATAAAATGTGTCTCAACTTCAGTGAAAGGATTATCATCCACAACTATCTTCCTTTCAATAGGAAGAATTAATCCAAGCTTTACAAGAAGCACACTCAGGAGTATGTGGATCACATCAATCTGGACCAAAACTCCACTTTCATATAAAAAGAATGGGGTATTATTGGCCAACCATGGTGAAGGATTGCTTAGATTATGCTCGAATGTGCGATGCTTGTCAATTTCATGCGAATTTCATACATCAGCCGCCCGAAGTATTACATCCAACTATTGCATCTTGGTCATTTGACGCTTGGGGATTGGATGTTGTGGGACCACTACCAAAATCTTCTGGTGGACACTTGTACATCTTGGCTGCAATAGATTACTTCTCAAAATAGGTTGAAGTTGTCGCTCTTAAAGAAGTGAGGAAAGAGAATGTTGCAAATTTTATCCGAGTGAATATCATCTATCGCTTTGGCATCCCTCGCTACATAATAATAGACAATGGCAAGCCATTTGATAACAAGTTAAAGAACAAAATTTGTGATCTCTTTGGCTTCGAGCAATGTAAATCTTCTATTTATCATGCTGCCGCCAATGGCCTTGTTGAAGCATTGAATAAAAATTTATGCAAACTCCTCAAAAAAGTTGTCTCCAAGTCCAAACGATATTGGCATGAAATAATGGAAGAAGCTTTGTGGGCATATAGGACGACGTACCGCACTCCAACTCAAGCAACACCATATTCACTTGCTTTTGGAGTTGAAGCAGTCCTTCCACTTGAGTGTCAAATACCTTCCTTAAGACTTGCTATTCAAGAAGGGCTCACTAAAGAAGAAAATGCTCGACTGCATCTTGGTGAGTTAGAAGAACTTGATGAAAAAAGGCTAGAAGCCCAATAAAATCTTGAATATCAAGATCGTCTATCTCGTGCCTTCAATAAAAAGGTTCGCCTGAGATGCCTCCAAGTTGGAGACCAAGTCCTGGCAGTAAGGAGCATCATCTTACATCAAGGGTAGTGCCTCTACAGGAATTTAGCATTAATAGGACCGATCCTTGCGCCATCAGCATCAACAAGCTTGTAAGCACCGTTTGAATATGCCTCTTGTACGACATATGGTCCATCCCACTTTGAGGTAAATTTAAAATTGAAGAAACATAGTATATTATTGATACTAGTGCGGTTACAATTTTGTTTCTCCCTTGATTCTACTCTCCTAAGATTTATCTATGTATTCGAGGGCTGTTAGTGGCGTATTTCTCGAACTAAGATGATTTAGATTTGACTTCTATATGAATATTCCATAAATTTGTAGAATAATTAGAGATATTCGAGATCTTGATCTTTAAAAATACCCAAAAGTTTATGGGATATTTGAGATGCCTTTTAAGGAAATTTAGTACCCTTTATATAGGCTTGAACTAGAGTTTAGAGTTGAGTAGCCAGAATTCTAATTGAAACTGAACACATCTTCTCGAGTCCCAATTCGAATTGAACACGTCTTGTAGAGTCCCAAAAAATTTCAATGCCTACAAATGCCCCTTCTTCAAGGCTTTGTCGGAGTGTAGACTCGATGAAACTCAAAGACGAGGCTTAAAGTACTCATTCTTCCACCTTTGCAGCTTCAGATTTTCAAATTTGATTTATGAGAGAAGAGATGAAGGGCATATTTGGTCCCACTAGGCGTGCCAATTTGTTTGCAACAAATTTTAAACACATGAAAAATAAATAAACCACACAAATAAAATTGAAGAAACATAGAATTTTATTGATACTAGTGCGGGTACAATTCTGTTCCTCCCTTGATTCTAATCTGCTAAGATTTATCCATGATTCGAGGGCCATTAGTAGAGTATTTCTCTAACTAGGATGATTTAGATTTGACCTCTATATGAATATTCCATCAATTTGGGGAATATTCGAGATCTTGATCTTTAAAAATACCCAAGAGTTTATGGGATATTTGAGATGCCTCTTAAGGAAATTTAGTACCCTTTATATAAGCTTGAACTAGTGTTTAGGGTAGAGTAGCCTGAATTCTAATTGAAACTGAACACACCTTCTAAAGTTCCAATTCGAATTGAACACATCTTGTAGAGTCCCACAAAATTTCAATGTCTACACACACGATGGGTAGTAAGTCTGCAGAACCCTCAACCAAATGGTGTTCCACCACACCCTTCTTCTCCATCTTCTAATAATTTCGCACGACCCTTCTCATTAGGTCAACCACACTCCCCCTAAATAATGCCGTAGAGAATAAAGGTTGAGCGCTAATGACCTTCGAAATTAGTTTTGTATTTATGAACTTACTTTTTCGTTCTAATTGCTCTTGGCCAAAATGTGTGGCCCCTTAAGAAAACATAGAAAATAACAAAAGAAGCAAGTTTTATTCTACACTAAGTAATAATTACTCAATGATCGTAAGTCAAATTTTGATTAAGGGTGTGTTTGGTACGAAGGAAAATGTTTTTCATGGAAAACATGTTTTCCTAGAAAACAAGTGAATTTTTAACTTATTTTCTCACATTTGGTTGCTGAATAGAAAATATTTTTTGGATTTTTTTTAATGTTTGTTTGGTGAATGAAAAATATTTCCAGAAAATATCTTTTATTTTTGGCTTGAAACTAGAAACTACTCTTTAAAAAAATAATTTTTGACCCGATGGAGTAAAAACTGAAATTTAAAAATTTGAATTATTTTTCAAAAATAATATTTTTTTTAAAAAACAAATTGACGGGAGTCGTGGTTGGGGGATGGCTGGGGTAGGGGTGGCGTAAAAATCAAATTTTTAAAATTTGAAATATTTTTTAAAAATAAATTTTTAATTTTTTTTGACGGAGGAGGGGGGTGGCGGCTGGGGGTAGGGGGTAGG